ATCGCATATTTGGGTACCGTTTCATAAAACTTTCATGCTTAAAATTTTTAGGGAGAAATGGAAGACTGGTGTGTATTTTTTCTTTAAACTACCAAGACCAGCCATACACAGTTCAGTTTCAGTTTATTAATTTCCTAAATTAATATCGTTTATGACCTTCTGATGTGTTATGCTCCCCTTCTTTTTATGCTCAGCTACTAAAATTTCCCTTTAGTGGTAAAATTCCATATAAATATTCAAAACTAAGCGGATTAAAATGTGCACAGTAAAGACGTTAAATGATTAAATCTTTTCACTACCAACCAATGAACCACGAGTGCCCCTGTCAGTCATTTTGGCCAGCCAATCACTTACCGTGGCTTGTGGGTAGTTTACCTACCGCGGGTTTGTACTGCGCATTTTGAATGGCTGCATCTGTATTCATTCATAGATCTATCAAGAAAGCCTCCTGGAGACATCATGGATGGTAGAGATTCCCCATGCTTCCGTTGCATGGATATTTATTTGTTTCTTCCACGGTGCTGCTTCATGTGCTTTGACGTGAAGATCTGATTGCACTAAATTCTCATCCTTGGCAATTGCCATCTGTGATCACATCAGCAAGGCTTCTGGACTTAATCTTCAGGGATTCATACCCATTCTGGAATTTAGCTGACTGCTTTGCTGCTATTGGCTATTTGTCATTAAACTCATCAACCATTTGTTGATGGATTTCAGTGGGGTTTCCACCTACAGTACAGTAAAATTGACCAGAAACTGGATACCCAAGCTCAAAAGTTGTGAGACCAATGATGTGAACTGTTGTTCTCCATCCAAGGAGAGAAACAGGAAAACTTTTAACACTGTGAAACAATAAGCTGTTCAAACAAGCATGACCATGATTGCTGTAGTAAACTTACTCCATTAACTCAATGATAGAGATAATTACACATTTTTATATTTAGAGATAGATGAGTCCATTTAAAAATATTAAACATGTTCACTTCCTTAATTAGTTTTTTTCATTTTTCATGTCTACAAAGTTAATTTCTGCTGTGGGGGAAAATGATTTTTACAAAAATATTTAGCACATTTTCCTAAATACAGTATAGTCACTTAATTTGATCAGTTCAACACAGGTACCTTTTGCAGTTTAAACATCTAAATATCACAGTGCCTGTAGTGTCAGCAGCAATACATTTTAACTAATAGAATCAAAACTTACAGTCTCTCATGACTCTCAAGTTTCATAACCTTTAAAATTAGGCAAACTAATCAAATTAGCAATGTAGATTTGTGAGTTCAAATTGTTCTCCTTTTAATAATACATCAGAGGGTGATACTGTTTCAAACTATAACAAAGCATATAATAAAAAAAATCATATCTAAAAAAACACTGGCAGATTGAAACTTCTTTAAACATTAGTAAGACCCCAAATATCTGGTGAATAAAAAGCTGGTGAAAGATACATTCCCTGAAACATCCCAGAAATTGGTAGCACAGGGCTACACACGCTTCTTTGTACTAAGGAGTTTTACTGTTATGTATTTTACTTTAGGTTATATGCATTAAGTCATTTTTATTAAGGATTAATTCCACTCTTTCCCTGATTATTGCCACTCATAATAGAAAATAGTGTGTACCCGACACCTCAGATTAGGAAGAACTGAAGGGCTGTGCATTTTCCCCATTAAGCATTAAAGTAAGATTTGAAAGGAATAAAGCAGCGTGTTTAGATCATCATTTAATTACTGCATTTATGTTAGTGGTGGAAAAAAGAAGCCAGTGAATTAGTGGCAAGTCAGAACATATTTTTTATATTTTGTGTTTTGTCATACCTAGATCACTCACTACCGTCTTGGAAAACATTCTGCTTTTGGTCTTCACTGCAATTACATTTTAAATAAAACACAACAAAACAAAGCATGAACAGCTATGTAAAACAAATTGAATGAATAAATCAAGAAAAAAATATACATGAGTAAATTACAATATTTTACCCCTTTTTATAATATTAGGCAGTTTATGGTCTTCATCTGAATTGTAAGGTGAGGCAGAGCCTACAGAGTAATGACAAATATTAGATAGAGTACATATGATTTCACTGAGATTAAGATTTCAGAACAATGTTTTTTTCTTATGAATGCATGCTGAATTTATCATATTAGGCAGAGAAATATTTTACTTATTATTTGATGGTAAGAATATCTAAAATATAATTTTAACAGTTTAACACCATAAATATCTTTGATAAAAAATGGTTTCACAGTCAATATTTGTATTTTTCTTAAATTTATTAATTAATATTTTTATAGAGAAATTTGTTAATACCACTATTACGTATATTACGTATTTTAACCTAAAATGTAACCGATCTAAAGAAACTTTCTCAAATTTAAAAAGGCAAACTGGAGCCATGCATTTTTTTCAGAAAGTGAAATAATATAATAGTATTTTTTCTATCAGCAAGATATAATATAAGTTGTGCTGTACATAAGACAACCATATGACAGTAATAACAATTAATGCTAAAATTCTTTAATGCAATAAATATGAATTATCTAGAAACAAAATGTAGAAAACTTCCCTTTTACATTGTAGAACTCATAACAAAGAAAAGTCTGTACTGGGTAAATCCTATTCAGCTTTAATAGAAAACTCACTTATTGCTGATGATTTCATATACAATAATACACTTGAAGAAAAGTACGCAAATTTAAAATTGTATTAAATCAGCCTGATATTAAATTAACTTCATCTGAAGAAAAAACGTGATATAAAAAATGTCCAAAAATGTAACAAGTTGGACTAAAACATCAATTGTCCACTACAATTACACTACTTAAGGACATCTTTCTATAATAACTAAACATATGGTAATATGTGAATACAGAGCTGTCCAGATCTGATGAAGGTAAAACTTTTGCCTCAATTTTACAATTAAGGATAAATAATTTAAGCTTGCATTTTTTTCTCTGCCATCCTTAGTTTAGACCTTTTCTAACTGTGAAATATCACCCAACATCCTTTAAACTTTCTTCATAATAATAAAGTCATTACAACTAATTAACAATGAAACTGAATGTTATTTACAATGTCTAAAGTTTAATTAAACATTTTTAAGAATAACAGTATTAAAATGTAAATATTATTTAAACTTTAGATTCTTTTAAAATTATGTAAACATATTTTATTCCACTGTACTCTACTTACTAAATATCTGATGTTTAAAAACTGATTATTCTACTATACTTTGCAAATAGTTTTAACAGTATCATACTGTGTGAAATATTTTATTACAGGATCCATTTAAAAAATAATTTTGGAGTATCTATATTTCCAGGCACCCTTAGACTATACATTCCAATTAGAACTTCTCACTCTTGCTCCATAATGATATTTAACAAATGTCTTGTGCCAAGTTAGGCCAAAAGCTTTTAAAAGCACCTTCTCTCCCACTTATAAAGATTTTGCACAAAACTGAACTCTTTACTGGATGTAAGATGCACTTTGCCAGACATCTATGGATTTTTGCATAAGTAAGCCAAATGTTTTAACAACTTCTTTGTGTGTCGTTTCTTGCCATGATCCATTTTCTGATTCTGTGGACTTTTGTTCCTTCACAAATCTATTTATGTATACAGAGAACAATAGGCATTAAGTACTCATCTCCAGATTGAAGGCACTGCAACTATTCATTTTGTACAGCTTTCTAATCAGTAATAAAATAAAGGTCAGGCATATATAGATAGGTTTCTACAAAACAAAGACCTACTCCTGAAAACAAGTTATTTTTCCAATTAAATGTGATGTAACATTTTTGCAAAGAAGAAAAATGCTGACAGAGTTCATGTGCTTTGATATTTTTGCTCCAGGAGACCATCACATTTGTTTTAGGTCCCCTTGAATGTCATCTCTGCCAGGCTAAATTCACTAAGACTATAATTTCACATGTACTAGGTACATTCTCCATTAAAAGGCAGAATAAATGGTTTAAACTAACTGGACACTTTAAAAACAATCGGTCTGTAACAATTAGACATTAAAAGCAGAGACATTTTACCTGAAGTTGGTGATTTGCACCGATCTTCTGAAGTTGTGGATCCCTCATTGATATCACACAGACCTGCTAAAGCACACACGTTAATTAGCAGAAACCAGTATGCATCATGTCTTGAATTATGAAAAGCCTATATTACCCCAGTAACCAGTCTTTAAAACAGAACTACTATATGACAACAACCAGTTTTTTTAATGATGTCATACTAATTGTGAAACAATATTCAAAGATGCAGACAATACTGAAGAATATACATTTATATTCAGAGAAAATACTTACTCCCAGATCCCTAAAGCAGTACAGAAGTACAGGTTGAGGCGCAATTCTAAACACAGTTTATCCCTGCCCGAACCTCTAAGGGACAGTCCATACATTCTCATGCAGGGAGATGGGGGATCTTATCTAAGGCTTTGTTTCAACATAAGCTATGGAGGATTGCTCTGTATCTGACATTTAGCCTTTAGCCTGGATGATACCCAAGCAATAACTTTAATTATCTGTTCACTGTGTCTGTGAAAAGGCTCTTAGAAATAAGTGAAAGTTTAACAATGGTATTACACAGAAATGGCCAACTAGTGTAAAACTCCCGCAGTTCCTCTGCCTGCTTAAGAAAGAAAATCTAACTCTGAAGGTAATTTATAAAGCATTGGAACTGATATTTGGTACCTCAATAAGGCAAAACCGTTGTATCTTTGCAAAGTGATACTATAGCGGGATGCAAATATTAATGTGTTTATACAGATTAATGTCTGCTACTGGCTCATGTTTTGTCCATAATTTCTTATCACATGATCGAGAGCTTTCTGCTATTCTCCAAGAATTAAAAAGAGGTGTTTAAGACAAATGAACAAAAAGTTTTAAACAGTTTAGATGCCATTTTTGTCAAAGAATTAAGAACGTTAGGCAAGTGCAGTAAGGCATACACTCGTGTGGAAGAACACTGATAGTCCTATAACAATACATCAAATACAATTCAAGGAAGCTAGGATGAAATGCCAACTACTGTACATATGAATAGAGTTAGTTCTGAGCAATGTGTGTTTTGAACACTTCAGAAGCAATATAACTTATGTTTTTAATAACTTATTAAGTTTTGAATGTACATTTTAAAACCAATAAGAGAACAATATACTGACAGGACTACTGCATGTTGCATTCTGTGGTCATGCCATTTTCTTCTACGCTGGAACATTTTAGAACTACATTTCCTGTTATTCGCGGTCTACAATTAGCACCTTATATCTGCATTTATATTAAACAACCCTGGTGCATCTGTCTATTAGCAGCATCGCTTTAAGTGAACGTCTACATGACACCTTTCTCCGAAGCATGACTGGCACTGGAATATTTTAGAAACGTACAAGTGACGTTTCAGTGAGACATCATGTGACTTGGGGACATTCCAGCAAAGCCAATTCTTTATTTTACTGATCACTGTAGAACCATGCCATGGTTGTGTCCAGGACAGGGACTTTCTTGTTACAAGTTTAGAACTGCTCAATGTGTCGTATAAAATACTCGAGAGCTAACATACTGTATGTTCCAATGAATAAAATGAGCCTACTATTTTCCATATGTGTGTTTCAAATAATATGTATCGTGTATGGACGCCTGAAACCTTTCATCATTACCTTTTATGTGAATTTCTGTTGCAGTAAATAAAACTAATAAATCACAAAGATTTAAATGGATGATTTCTAACTTAAACAAATTTGTCATGCACAGATATATACTGTATGCAGATATACTGTGCTAGCAATCTACTGTAAATACAGATACTCAAGTTTCTATACACATCAATATTACATAGATAATATTACGTATAGTGTTTTATACAGATATACACTAATACGTAGTATTAATTGTTGTGTAAGTTCCCTTACTTTTTTTATGAAATTACGTATGACTAATCACTTATTTACCATGAAGCTTGCCTGGAACAGGAAGCTCAAAGGTATTTTGTGAGCCGTATTGATATACTTAATGTCAATCCTGACGTTCTAAGCAATTGATTATTTGCTTACAAACTTCAACAAATCCTTGCATAAAAATATAAAACCAACAGTATCCTCCTGACTGAGCTTACGTTGGCAGCACAAAGCTACTTTTGAATACTGATGTGAATTCAATTAGCTTGTCAAAATGGTATTTTAATTTATGCAGTATGCCGTTGCTAGGCCACTGTATCCTATTACATAATACAGTTTATATTGTTTCATAAAATCAGAAATGCAATTTGGTTCTAATTCTGTAGGTGGCAATATGACATTAAAAGTGTACACAGTGAAAGCAACTAATGGAGCAAATGGTGACTGAAGCATTATTTCTTTTTTCCATTTATGATCTACACTAAGACAAATTTTCCTTGTGATTTCGATTTTACATATGAAAACCAATGCTTCTTATTCTGAAGATAGGATAGCAAACACTCTTTGTTATAAAACACATCAATTTTTAACTGTTTTAACTGAATTTTGGACAGGATAAGAAAATAACAGTACTTTGACCGAGATGTCAGAAAAACACAAACAAGGGCTGTCACGTGGCTCAATAATTATGCAGGATTTAGAATCAAGCTTCCTACTGTATTAATGAGATTAAGAAACTGCAGTCAAAAAGGACTTTTCTTTTCTAATGAATGCTCCTGAAAGATACATCCAAGCTAAGCCCCAGGTCAGGCACATCTAAGGATTATTTACTCAAACTATTGTAATACTTTAATAACCTATTATTGCTTAGGAACAGAAAAACACATTCACAATCTTGCCCCAGGTATGGCTGGAGGACAGGCATCTTTTGACCAAGGGCTGAGAACAAATAGTGTTTTTCTACTATTTTACTATTGGCTGTGCATTACGGTGCAACGCACATGCTTAATCACAGGTTAACTGTAAGACTCATCTGACTCTTCTCTACAACTGGATAAATAATGAGAGATGAGCCTCATCTTCCTTTCAGTGTCTTAGGAAAATGTAAACAAAATTATTCATTTGTCTACAGGTAACTAATTTATGTATACTTTTAAAAACTGCAAAACAATAGTTTAGCCTTTAGTCAACTGGGGGAAGTGCTTGGAAAATGTATGAAGGTGGCAATAAATAAGAAAAAAACATTCCAAACAAATAAGCTTTCTTATTACGAGCACAAATACTGTATGAATGGCAAAAACAGCAGCAGCCAGACAACAAAGAACTACTAATATAAGGTGACTTACTGAGATAAGAGGAGCGCAGTTTTTTCACAGATTCAGAATATAGGTTAGAAAGGCCACACATGCAAGATGCCACTGCCAGCATACCTTTATGTTGCCATAGAAGAAGATGAGGACAACACAACAACGTAAGAGACAGTAAAATGGAAAAAAAAAAACTTAAAACTTAAAATCATGAAGCACTTTCAGGCCTCCAGCTTTCTGGAGCCTTCAAACTGAAAACACAATCTGCTGTATGTGAAAACGTTTCCAGTGAGAAGTGGCCACAGGCTTCCCTTCATCCCGCTGCGTGGATGAGGCAATACAAACAAGCACATGCTTCTAGGAAGAGAAAAAAGACATTGAAAGAAAGCTTTAGGTAGACGATGCAGACAAGATGCACAAAGAACTTAAATAACTGAAAAACAAAACACTGACAAGAGATGTTCCTAGCTGTGTAACACAACTGTGGCTAGAACAAACGAGATGGTGTAGGGACTATAACCTATCTTATTACTTTTATGTTGAAATTAACTTTCAGAATAGAGTACTTAAAAACTTGGAATCTAAGAAAAAGTCTGTGTGAGAAAAAATAATTGTACAAAAGTGCTTGTTTGTAGTTACGCTTTAATTTTGAGCATTTAGAACTGAAAATGATCAGAATTGTGATAGGTGTTCACAAAGGCAACTGGAGAGTGTGTTCACATGACAGATACACAAACCATTTCTCTAAGCCTGTCTACAGTAAATATTATATTTTAATAAGCCTGGAGAAAAAACTTGTTCTGTAACTGCTTAAATCAATATTTGTTCAAGAGTTTTTTTCTTATTTTTTAAACTTCAATAGACTGCAGATCTGATGTCAGGCATGACAACTATAGACTGTACATAACATGCATAGATGTTATAAAAAGTATTTCAAAAGTCCTGTAACCTTCCTTAAATCAACACCAATATACAGTAATAACTCTAAATAAAATGCATAATTCACAATGGAATGCTATCAGAGTGCAAAGTGCTGTATTAAATTTGGCAAAAAACTCTGTGGCTATGGATCTGCGCCTGTGGCTGGAAGGTTGTTAGTTCGTACCCCGCGGCTGGCAGAGGAATCCTACTCCCTTGGGCCCCTGAGCAAGGACCTCAACCCCAGCTGCTCCAGGGGCACTGTATAAATGTCTGACTCTGCGCTCTGAAGCACCCCAAGCTTCTCTCCCTGTGTGTCTCATGGAGAGCAAGTTGGAGTTTGTGAAAAGACAAAATTCTTAATACAAGAAATTGTATATGGCCAATAAAGAGTTCTTCTCTTATTCTTTTTGGAGTTGTTATACAGTATCTTGTTAAACTTTTGTTAATTAACTCCATCAGTAAAAACATTAAATGTCAAACATGTTTGTGCTAAAAATCATTAGTCCTACTTTTACACCAAAACACAAAATTCATACAGCTATTTTTTTCCATTTTACTCATGCTTTACTTATTGTTTTGAAAAATTAATAATCTGCCCATGGAGCCCATGTGGAAAAAAGAAAAAAAAAACTTTCCTTCATGGCCTAAAAATAACTGTAATAAAGGGAGAGAAATACTAACTGTAAATGGCAAAACACTGCTGTTACCTAAACTCTGAAAGGTGCTCCAGTGGAGAAAGAGAGAATATCTTTTGGGGTTTTAAATTGAAACAGTGACTTTAAACAACATTCTTGCAGAACAGTGTTCTGAGTTCACATGTTTATATCTGCACCAACATATCACAGATGTAAGAGAAAGCTAAATATTTTACTTTATGACATAGTTTTTTCTACCTTACCTCCAGAAGGCTGTCTTGTTTTGCGAGGAGACCTTGGTTGTCTTTGATAAGGATCATTGGATCCGTATAACTCGACTGTCCCCAGGTTTAGTAGTATAGTCTTCTGAAGGTAGTCAACAATTGCAAGGCCGTTGCTATTGCCAAAAACCACACTACAAAAAAACATAATTTGACAAGGTTTTTCATGTCCTTTAGACAATCTTCAATTCAATAAGCATCACAGAGCATCTTCTAAGCTTTCTGCCAAGTTTCAATCATCCACAAACATCAGTGGTGTTAATACTTTTTTGTACACACAACACTTTTCACTAAAAGAAAAAAACATATTTGTATAAATAATTCTCAGGGGAGAAAAATATTTCAAATATAGTTGTAGGGATAGATTTGAGTTTTACATTCCATTATATTCTGCAATATAGTACAAAAGAGCAAGTGAGGAACATGTGCTGTGGAGATATTTCTCTTGAATTTACTGTACTGTAAATTAACTGTTAGTAATTCACATACTGCTTGAATGCTTGGTATTTCCTGTACTTACAGTCCATATGATGAATTAACCCCAAGGCTGGTTATCTGCTGTGGAGGTTCTCCACTGACCCAGACCAGTTGAATAACAAGTTCCACCTGGTAACCGGCAGACTGCTTGAGTGGAGTGCTTCTCACTCTGTACAAAAGGGGAACGCAAACATGTCTGCACTGTTCTGTCACTGGAGAATAAAGGTTTAATTCTGAAATAGAATGCACAGCACCTATTGACATGCTATAATGTTTGTATTTCCCTCTGCTGTGTTTTCATTATTTCCTATTTACTTAATAATTCATTTTCTCAGATGAGGGAAAGGTAAACAAGAAAGACTATGACAATTAAAAAAAGTGAGGACCAACAGAGCCGTCAGAGTGTTTAAAGCCATTTAGTTCTGGGAAAACTGGAGAAATAATAATTTCAAAGAGATACAATTCAACAATCTGTTTCTTTTCTGATATTAAAAGCTTAATGATATGAAGCTCGCAATACATTCAATAATAAAGACTGAAAAATAAAACTAACAAACACTGCATAAGAAATAAATGTAACAGACAAGTTCTTACTGTCTTTCAGCTTCAGCAAACTATGTAAAATCTTTGCCTAGATTATCTGGCTTGATCCAGTAAAAAAACTGGATAAACCTCAGGGAACATTAAAACCATTTAACTTTGTAGCCTAAGACAGTAAGAGCTACTTGCCAGTATGGGTTCTGAGCTCAGATGCTGAGAATAAAGAATATCTGCAGTGTGCATTTCACTGAAGATAAGGCAGAGCAATAGGCTGAAGCCTGAAAGCAGCAGGACAGTGTGAGAAAAGCAGGTGGAAGAGTGAAGTGAGGAGCTGTTAAAGGAACTGCGTACTTGAGGCAGGGCACATTGTCCCGGATACCATCGGAAGAGCTGCTGCTGGTGGATGGGTGGGAATGGGGGGCGCTGGACTGGGAGTTGGAGGATGCCCCTGGGGTTGGCAATGTAGGGACCTGCTCACCCTCTGGGGACTCAATGTCATTGAGTTCGTACTGAAGCCGGACTTCAAGTAGCTGGTCAGAAAAGAAAAAGCTTTGTAACACCTGATTACGAAGCAAAGATCACATGAACACTTCCACATTACATAAACATTAAATTTAAAGTATAAAAAATGATATATATTTATAACTATACATATATTAAATACAAAATAAAAGGCAAATCCCAATATTCAGTAAGGATAATTTTAAACACAATTTGAACAAATACTGTTTGGGCTAGTTCTGTGTCATACAAAGAAAATCTTAAAAGAGAAATATCAAACATGACCTGGAGAATATCTGGCTCTTGGCATTTGATTCACTAGTGTTAAGCATACTGAGCATCAAAAGAAACATATCCCTTATAGCTAACAAATTCAGGAAGTTATCAGGAAAATATTGTGTAGAAAGTGCACTGGCATTGTATTATATATACACATATATCCCGTATAATCTCATTATAAATATAAATTAATTATCCTGAATAATACATTGCCATCTCTCACGAAATCCACTGTCCCACAATCAAAATGAGAATATGCATTGCCTTTTGGAATGTTGGCATATCAGAATGAGCTAGGAGGAAGTGCATGAAGCGAGGACCCAAGACTGGACTCAATGTAGTGCTGTGCAGTCAGGATGCCATCAATCACTATAAATGGAGTTGTGTACTGTAGCTACAGTACTCTTATGGTCAGACCATCATACTTGGGCTGGTCTATTGATCTTGGTGAGGTGTCATGACTTGTAGTCTCCCAGATAATGGCCTATCATTATCAGGTTAAACATCTCTCTCTGTGAATGTCCCACACAGCGAGCAACAGTCCAGCCTCCAGCTTGCTAATGGCATGAAGGCATCACTTGCTTGGTATGACACGCATATTGATCCTTTTGCTGTGTTTTTCTTTAATGATTTTCACAATGTTTGGCATTCATAAGTCAAAGTCACTTCATTGTCTCTGCCCAGTCAACTCTAACTAAATAAGGAGATTAAAGACTTATGCAACAAAACCATCTGACACCCCCCAAATTTAAGCAATATCTAAACGCTTCATCTTATTTATAGGATTTTTTTTAAATTCAGGATTATGTCTTTCCCTATATATTCTGGAACGGCTAGGGAGCAGTCACCACCCTATTCTCTGCATTTTATGTTTGTTTTGGAACTGTGCACAAAGAACACACAGTACGTAACTACCATGACCTTAGCATTAACCAGAGGGCAATCTCAGCCACACTTATAATGTCCCAGTCAAAATATCCATCTAGCATTAGAGCTTTAAGCAATTCCAAATAACTGAGTCCTAGCCAGTATGTGCTGCCCTGTAGCTGCTGTGGGCAAATCAAAAGTTAGAAGTTTGAAACACGATGCACATTTGCTCAAGCAACAAAACACATGCTGCATTCTGATCAGAGCCTCTTTAAGGCAAGGTCAATAGCAATCTTCAAGGTTGAGAAAAGAAAAAATCCTCAAATATATTTCAAATATAAGAATATAGGAATATATTATATTATATTAAATATAGGAATCAAATATATTTCGAATTCTTAAATATTCTTTTAAGAGTCATAAAACCCCCTAGGCAAAAAAGATAAGATTACTAAATTTCATTTAGAAAGACCATTGCGTTGGTGCAGTGGATTTGGTGCATGACTCTGGGACTGCAGAGGTCTGGGTTCGACTCCGGCTTAGGGTACAAATATAGCCATATCACCCTGCAACTCACAACTAGCAGCCCACTGCAGCTAAGCAGGTGTGAGCCTGGCCAGTACCTGAGTGGGAGACCTACTGGGAAAAACTAAGGTTGCTGCTGGAAGAGGTGTCAATGGGGCCAGCAGGGGGCGCTGCGGTCTATGTGGGTCATAATGCATAGCAAAGGGGACACTAAACTGTATAAAGGCCCTGTCCTTAGGATAAGACATTAAACCAAGGTCCTGGCTCTCTGTGGTCATTAAAAAGTCCAGGGCATTTGTGTGGTGAGCTTTCCAGCACACTATGGCTGTTGTCACATCATCAAGGTGGATGCTGCACATTGGTGGTAGTGGAGGGGAGTCCCCATAACCTGTAAAGTGCTTTGAGTGAAGTGTCCAGAAAAGCACTATATAAGTGTAAGTAATTATTATTATTTCCATATGTTTTAAAAGGTTCTAATGATTATCCCTGGGATTGTAAAAATGATGCAGCACCACAGATCATGCCTATGATCTGCCTGCACCTATAACTTCACCTATAACTTTCTTTAACAAGAATTTGTTAAAAACAAAATGCATACCACAAATCACCTCAGTTCTTTCACAACCTTAATGTTAAAAATACATAGAATATTAGAACCCAGTATATCAGCATTCCACAAAAATAAAGAAATAATTCTCATTTTAAACAAATTGGAATTTTACCACCAAAGAGTTAAAAAACAACTCTAAATACCTCAGCAAAAATATTTTTTAAAGCTCTTTTAAAACCTGAACAGGAAACTACTGTACCTCATTTTAAAGTAACTCTGTTCAATACATAGCTATGAATCCAAAATGCTTAAAGCAGAACTGCAACAGTATTTTTATATTTCAGGGTTAAAAAGAATCGGAATTGATTAGACCATTTCAAACAACAAGTAAAGTAAAATGTACACAGTAACTTGTAAAACCTCCAATTTACATAACAAAATTTCCAGGTATGCACAGCGCAATTCAGATAGAGGTACCAAAATGTCTGGTGAGATGAAGCCCTTTTCCACTGTAAACAAGCAGAATTGTGAATACATCTCTTTCAATCCAACAGAAATATTGCTCTCGACTTTGAAATGGTTTTGCCAACAAATATAACTTTCTTGTTCATTCTGCATGCAGATCATGTTGAAACGTTTCCACGGTGAAGTGTTTGCTGCTCAACCTGTACATATTGGTTTGCACATCATATTACATTAGTCATTACAGCGAAGAGTGAGAAGGAAGGGCTTCACGTCACAATTCTCATGAACTCTTGCTCTTGCCTGTGTCAAGACCAGTGGTTTGCAACAACAATGGCGATCATACTTTTACAAAGTACACAATTTTGTGCTTAATTTAAAATTAGTGATTCCGTCAATTCATTTATTTTGATAACAAGATTTAATAACTGTCATGAGAAATTGGGACTGCAGTTCCCCTTTACAATATGGTGAACATTCCTAATTAAATCCAATGGAACTATTCATATTGATTAATTAATTTGCATCAAAATAAGTAGACTGATAAAACTCAAGAATAGGCAATAATTAGTAGAAATAAAGCATTTGCTTTACAACATCAACCTAGTTGTCATTCTGTTAACACTCAAGCTACACTGTTGAATATTTGAGCTGCCTGCTGCAGAGGATGTTTCAGCTGTCACTGCACAAGCACTCCTCTAAAGAAGCGCAAGGGCAATGTGTTATTGTCAGGAATTGCCAGTCTTCAATCCCTGATGATTCTATCCCAGATATTACAAGGTAATTTATATTTTAACACTTAGCTCTGAATTGATTGCAGACATTTATACTGTAGATGTACATTGAGCCCTTGTAAAAAGCATGACAGAAAAGTAAACCACTACATAGTTGCAACATGATTCTGCATTTAACCTTGACATCTCATACATCTTACTGGTGCAAAACAAACACCAAGGTTTTGACTTCACATTGCAAACACTGCACTTCCTACAAGTGATTTCTCTATCAGCCTCACTGTCAGTGTCAGTCATGGTAAAGGGATACCCTGTGCTAATCGCTTCAATTTGCTCCAATTAAACACTGTATAAAACATCACACAGCTCTGGGTTCTCACAGCACAGAGCAAATCATCATGATGACAGCTTTTTGGAGCTGACTGCAGTTTGCAGTGATCTTGGGACCTACGCAGTGAATTCTGGGAGTCTTATCAGCAGTATTTACATTCATGTGACAGTGATTAATTTTCTTCTCTTTCTATCTTTTGTAATTCTCTTCAATCCCCTCATAGGCACAAGAGCACTATCAACCTGAGAACAGCAGTTAGTTTCTTGGCAGTACCTGCTGCTGCAATGCCTGAATACCTCCACTTCGCTTATTTTACAGACTGAAATGGCTGAGCTATAGTGGGGCTCATGAAATGTAAGTTTATGAAAGATATGCCTGCTTAATAGTCAAATGCTAATAGAACCATTTCTGAATTTAAAATCTGCATAGACTCCATAAGTTGAACTTTGAGTTGTTTACCTGGAGAAATCAAACAAATAACAATATGATTGCATTGCAAACAATATTAAATCAAAAGTAGATGACCCTAAAGATCAGGCAGAGAAAGAGAACATTTCCTGCCAGCATGGGAGTGAATTAGGTCAAAGTGTTCTAGGCTACTTTTGTATATTTATTACCAAATGTAAGCATGCAAAAAACAGAGAGAAATGTCACTATAAAGCTGTGTTCCTTGAGCTAACTGAACCACCCTTCTTGAATGCTTAAATATAGAATTAACTTAAATGTTAATGAAGTACAACACAGTCTGAAGAAACATGGATTGTCTCACACAGTATTTAACAGGTAGAAGAAGTACTGTTTGCTCATCTAGAGGAGAGTACATAGGCTAAATAGGACTAAATGACTCCTGGACTCCTGACTTTTATCCTACCTTAGAATAATAAAAAAAACTCAAACCACGGGAAGACAAAGCATGTTTTCTTATTAAGTTTAATAATTATTAAATCACATTAAAAAGAAATGAATAAAAGGACTTTTATACCAGGTTAATTTATGAAGGCCTGAATCACAATTCAACTGAAAGCATGCTCAAATGCTGACAACTGTTATCTGTAGGGTTCTAAACAAACTGCAGTTTGCCTCCAAGTGCATTCATACTTGCTCTGGTGAATACTTTGCAGCTGTACTGGCACCAGAAAGTATCTGGTTTTCACATTGCAACATTTCAAGTGAACCTGATTGTCTAAATGATTGTATTAACATGAATTATCTGAATCCTAATCTAAGCAACTAAAATATTATCTGCACGAAAAGCATAATGCGGACCTACCCGTTTAAATCCAGAAAGCTGTTAAACATAGCAAATGAGTAAATTAAATGGGATATTCTAGATATCTTTTGCCAACCAATAAAAGACTTAAATAATGAGTATGCTATGGGTCCACATTATTTCATGTTGAAAAGAATGAACTAGGAATAAGGAGTAGGACTGGAGATCACACAGTCAGTTTTTGTTGCTCGTGAACCCTGATGTGATTGCTTTCAGGGTGAGTTTCACCTTAAACACTGCAATTCCAAACAAATATTTTCAATATTTTACATCAACAAAAATGAACTTGAACAAATTCTCAACCAATTGTCAATCATATTCAAATATTAATTAGCCAATCCAAATTAACTAGGTACTGTAAGAAAGTCTTTTAAATGTACTTTAACAAAGAGTCACTTTCAAACTAAGCTCAACTGGTAGCATTTATCACTGGGACATTTGTTCTGAATTGCAAACCCACAATGCCTGCATTGGGTACATGGCAATGCAAGGTAATAGAGAAGGCACAACATACTGACCAATCACTGTACATTCTGGAACTTGTCTGGGCATTACCTGCACCACCTCCGTAGTCACTTCCTGCTTGCTGAACCTATAGATGATAACATGGGCTGAGACTCCGGCCACACACAATATCCTGCTTTCTGGACACCAGGAAAGGATCTGAATGGCAAAGGGATCTTCATCTACAATTTCTGTGTTGGGCTTGTCATCTTTGTTCCGAGACTTTTCAAATGCCTTGGCTGTCTTTAGCTTGTACAGTACTTGGAGCATTACTGGAAACAGGTGAAAAAAACAAAACAAACAAAAACAGACGAAATCAAACAATTTCTTATGTTTTTTAAACATACTCTACATTTCAGCTTTTAATGAATGGCACAATGTCAAAAATATATACTCATGTTTTCAATTTCTTGAAAACTTTTCTAGATCAGAAATTATAATTTTATAATTTTTATGTGATTTTACATTGGGAGTCAAATACATTATAAATGCCATAAGGAGTATTTCAGCTAAGACAACTAGGCAGAGGACATTTTATGAGAATTTTTATCAGGCATCGTAATCAGTACAGTAGGTAACCAGATGTTTTACAAGAGGTTAGAGTGAGGAACTACTGTATGTCAGTAAGCTGCAAAGAAACAAGAAGAGGTTGATTCCAAGCTGAAAAAGTAGAAAGAAGAAAAAACAGCAAAAAAGTTTGAGCTGTGGAGTCTTTTATTCTTCTTTTCTCATTATATTTCAGTGTGAAATTAACATCTACTTGTTCCTGTATTTTATATATGCTCTTTAAGTAAAACAGTTTTTTATTTCAAAGAGAATTCAGTTACAGATGCAAAATAGTGTTTGCTGAAGCATTACAACACAATTTGCTTTTGAAATTGAAATTTAATTTCAACTACAAACCAACAAAAGGTCAAAGTCACAGGTTTCTTGGCGGTTACAATTGCAAACAAAAAGTAAAAAAAAAACATGGGCATGTAAACTAACTCTTCTTAAACAAGCTTCTATAGTTTTAGAAGTAACTAAATATTTTGGAAATTAAAATTACAATTAATTAAATATAAAAGAGCCTGTGAGTCTTATTTTGTAGTGCAACAAACTATGAAGAGCTGCAACAAGCTACACTTATTTACACTGATAAAATACAACAGAACAGCAGTCATCAACAATGGCTTGTTCTCAATAACATAAAAAATGCAGCATCCATAGATACTCAGTATCTTTCATCACTCATTTGTGCAGCTTCTTGCAAATGAAACTACAGTATGCCTTTGACAAGTGACTGCTCTTTTAACCAAGATCTCCATTTAACTCAATGACTGTATATGACAGTGTGTGACAGCCTATTATGAAAGATGAGAATCACCAACAGTAAAGTGCCGTGTCAGGTACTTTGAAAGTGGTGCATTCTCTCATTATAGTGAGATCACTTGCAGGGTAAGACACAAGATGGAATTCCAATACTCAATTAGTTTAAGCTTATACTGTACCTTATAACAGATTTAATAAATGTTTATGGCACACTGCATTACGTGCAATATGAAACTGAATACAGAGAATGAATGCTGATTATTTTAATGTTCCATTAAATAGAAATAAAATGTATTGTACTAATAGCATGCCTGAAAAAGTCCACACACAAATGGACATCAGTCCACACTAGAATCTAATGTTTATTCAGTGTGTGCAGTCACTCTGTCTTTTTTATTTAAATTTCACATTTCCCTTGTCTGAGGACCAGAGAGGATGAATGATGTGGATCGGTGAAATATAAAAAAAAAATTCAACTCCATCAGGCTATCCAGCACACTTTGTGAATTATCTACGTTGCTATTTTTGTCAACATCAAGTTAATATCCTTCTATTTCTAACCCTGTGGCAACATTAAGGTAGAAAGTAAGCACCATAAGATGGCAACCTGTATATATAACAGGTATGCTGGCTTTCAACAATTTACTGTATATCTCAGTAAAATAAAAAAACAAAAATGACAGATCGATCCCTGTTAGAAAGAAAATAGATTTTGGGAAGATAAGCCATTCAAGCCCAGAGAAAGACCTGGAGATGAAATGTTTCCATTTCCTCGACATGATCCATAAATAAATGCACTTAGTCTCCGTAATGAAAGTGAGCTGCAGTGGTAAACAGTAAACAGGGCCCTGCCCCACCTGTTTGCTTTGAAGGCAGGGAACTAATCACATTCTTTTTCCAGTAACATAATTTAGGCACTAAGTACACAAGCACTAGAAAAATAAGTCAGGCACTTAGGACTGTCTCTATGAAGTGCACACTGAAAGAGATTTATCTTGGGTTCTTGTGAAAAGCTTCTTTGCGCACAGGGCCAAATCGGTAATCTTAATAGATGTAGGCCACATGACCCTAAACAATCCCATTTTTTCCAAACAATCTCTATTTTCCTGTTGATCTAACACAACAAGTGGTATGTGGTTTCCTTGTCATTAGAAACACAGCTAAATACAGACAGCGCCATAAAAACACAAACAGAACTCAATGAGATCTCTGAATTTTGGTTTTGTAAGTAACTCATCACATATAAGCATTTCATTGCACTTGTGCATATGACAAATATCTGAACTGAACAGAAGATGTCTGAATCAAGTAGCTCTGCAAAGATATAGAGGATTAAGTTGCTTTCCTGGCCTTGCTTTATTTCTTATTATTATCAACTGGCCTAATAATTCAATTGAATTGGATAAATGGAATCCCAAAAAGCTTATGAATGGCTGATGTTTGACAAGTGATCTGAATGTTTTAGTCTGGATTTTTGATAATTTTTTAGTTTAATTTGAAACTTAAATTTTAAGGGCCAAAATATGGGTTTGTATTGTGATATTCAAGAAAACATGGCAACTTACTTGCAGAAGCATCCCAAAATTTTATTGATCCATCTGCATGCCTAATTTAAATAAAAAGAAAAAGCAAATTAAACTGGGTAAAGATTTGTAAATAATCAATGGTATCCCATTATAATATCCCAAGTTATCTATTACAAATCATACACTGTTCACACAATACACAATTTAAGCTACTACTGTTTTCATGTTATGAATGGCCTAGCTGATTTCTTGATAGTCATACATCTTTAAAAAAATATTATTTATAAAAAGGAGCAAAAAAGCAATGAGCTTTATGTTGTCTGTTGATTCATACAAGAAAATACAAAACAAACACACTTCAATAATGATAATACACAGTAAATGAGATGCAAGTTAACATACTTACAGGAGTGCAATGAAAATGTAAAGTATAATCACCCTTATTTTCCACCCTGAAGAAAACTATCACCCTTACCCAGTCTTGTTAACTTAAAGACTACAAGGCCTTCCCAGAAGCAGTTATTTATGGTATAGAATTAGCAGTAGAGAACAACAAATTTAGACTTGGAAGTATTTGGCTGTTTGTAACCTTGGAATGAAATATTTGCATCACTGGAGTCCTGTTTTTATGATCTCACTATGAAGCAAGGATTTGAGTTGTGAAAATGCAATTCCATGAGTCTGACTACATAGGACTGTGGAGGAGGAGTGGGTTTTGCATTTTCCTCTAGCTTTTCAAAAACCTGATGAGGCATCAACTATGCATTTACCTTGCACGCCCTATAGAGATTAAACAATATCTGTAAAAGTATGAAGAAATATGCTATGGCTCTCACCACTGATACTTTTTACTTATAGTTTTTATTATTTAAATCTTTTTGTACAGTGGTAAGTTCTGAAAGGCTGGGGTGGACAAGCTTTCTTCTGTCCAAATCCGAATGAAGAGAATGTGGGAAACTGTCCTATTTATATTTCTTTGCTTTAGGGGACTGGAAAATGGCTGCATCCCACAATGACAGCAACATATACCTGCAGCCTCCTGGGCACTTGCAGGTATATGGTGCTGTCATTGTGGAATTAGTCAGCCAGGGCATGTTGCTGTGAGCCAAGACAGCCCTGGCTGACTAATTCCACTATACCTTTTAGTGGTGCTCAAAATTGTCAACTACTTGGGGAATCCTGGTCACAGTCAGTAAGCGACATGACTGAAGCTCAAACCTGTGGTACCTGAAGCCTTTATATGTTAAAGACACAAAAGAGACTGTATCAACATTTTAACTTTGGCATTTTACCAAAAATTACAATTGTTCTCATCACACTAATTTAAGTTTTATATAGTTACCCATCCATCCATTTTCTAAACGCTTCAATTTAGGGTCATGGGGAACCCAGAGCCTATTCCGGCAAGCAACAGGTGAAAGGCGGTGTACAGCCTTGAGGGGATGCCAGTCCACTGCAGGGCACACACAGACACCGACGTACACATGCTCCCCCCTATTTTCCCACATCCCAGTTTACCAACCACTATGTCTCTGGATTGTGGGAGGATATAGGAGCACATGGAGTAAACCCAACATGAAAACAGGGAGAAAATACAAACTCCACATAGATAGCACCCATTGCACCATTGTTTGTATTAAAAAAAAAAAACTTAAGTGGATCTTTTGGTAAAAGTATTTTCCCACAATGTTAGACAGCTCCTGTCTTCTGCATGTTGCAGATTGGAGTCGAAGCTATGAGAACTCACTGTCAGCTGAGAACTGAGAATTGTGTCTTTCATCCCTTATTGACATGGGACAAATCAAATACAGCATGAGTGGTACTCAGCTACTGCATACTGCACACTGAATACTAGTGACCTCTGCAGAGATGAGCATTATCAGGCACGAGTTCTGCCAATCCTCTCACTGCTGTAAACTTGCTGTTTATAGTCAGTTTGCAGTGTAAAAAGAAACATTTGTGTTTTCTTCAGCTAATATACAGTACAACATTGCAGAAAGCAGTGGTGCAGCAATAAGAAAGGTTGAATAATTTGAAAACAAAAATTCTGAAGAAGGGTCATATAGCTGGCAATATTATATATAAAAAGCAGAAAAAAAACTAATAGGCAGCAAATGGAATTAAGACAGTTTTCTGTTTTAAGAAACAGTTTTAAGAAACGGAAACATGCTAGTAAGTAATTAAGTAAACTATTTTGTTGTTTTTTAATTAAAACATATAAAATAAAATACCTTCAAAAGGGTTAATTGTTAAACATTTAAAAATGTGCAGAAAGCAGAGTCTACTTCAAGGATGGTATCTAAGTTAAAACTATCTCTGACACTGATACTCTGAGAGGCACTGTTTGAGTATCATAGGGCTATAGAGATATAAAGAGAGGCTAGTATCTTCTCAAAACTCCTAGCTAAATGCCATTGCAAAAATCTCAAGGTGTTCTGCATGCTGAGCACACTGAGCTGGTATGTGTGGATGTAACAATGCTGCAGGGACAACTTATCTAGGACGTATCCCAACGGAGGTGCAATCCAAAAATCAATAACTCTGGGAAAGAAAGGACTCCTTCAAGTCAAATGTAGTGTATCACAAAAGAAGGCTTCTCCCTCCACCAATAATAGAGTAGCTATTGTTCATACAAAAATAGCTACAATGAATTGTACAACTATAATTCACAATACAGTATGTCTATTCTTTATCCATTGATTGGCAAATACATTCCACTACATTTCCAGCCATATTATGATGTATGTTGCACTTCTACTGAATCACCACAGGGTGTGTCTGGTCATATGAGGAAAAAATGTAGTCTGCCTCCAAACTCACTGTAATCAATGGTGATATTGTAAAAGTATTGTAGAGAGTGTCATTGATCACGAGTATTTGGGACTGGTTACAGAAACATATTTAAGATGGGATAGATATATATAAAAAGGCCAATATAGATCTTTTTTCTAAGGATGCTTGGGCATAACTAGTTTTACAATTTTCTGTAAATCATTTATTGGAAGTGTCTCAACATATCATCTGTTGGATTGATAACACTGGTAGTGAAAATGGTAATATTTTTGTGAAATAGTTTTGAACATAAAGTACATAGCATAATTATTGGGATAAATCAGGTCAGCCTAAACACACTCTTGAGGCTGAATCTGTATCATTCCCATCTGGGAAATGCCTTTGTGCCTCAACCTGTATTGATTCAGGAAAAAATCATCTGCTGTGCAACTTCACTTTAGAAAAATACAAAATAATTATTTATTTTCTTAAAGTTCTAATATGTCCCTGGAATACTGTTTGTCCTGAATTCTGTTATTGGTGATGGTTGTTATGTTGTATTATTATGTTGTGCTCTGCCATAAAACAATTTTACCCTAGTGGATAATAAAGCATGAATTTAAATTGAATTGCGATTTGGTTTTGGTTGCCCGATGCTTTGCAAATACGTTTCTCCAACATTCAAGTCATAAGGGAGCATTCAGTCCAGACAGCAGACTGCTTTGTTCTGCATTGCAAACACGGTGTTTTACATATTTTAATATGTATATTACCATAAATAACAAATTATTTTCCACTTCTTCTACATAAGTTTCAACTACATGGAGTAAAAGAAAGGCCATACTCTGCCACAAAGTCAGCCTAAGAAAGATTTGTGTCTGAAAAATAACTACAATTTTAATAATATTAAAAAAATCTTTTTCCTTTAACTCTTTGCCTAAAACTGCAAGTTGATTTCTCCTCCTTGACTTACCCAGTGATAATTATCTCTGGATAACTCTGTGTTCCCAGGCCCCAGTTACCTCCACTGACCGGCCATTCCTAAAAAAGAAATTGAAACAGCAAGTGTTAAAAACTGGACATCATATCATAATAAATATATTGTTTTATTTAGACGCCTCCTGTTTATAAGTGTGTTGTTTATTTACTCTCCGGCTAATCTGATAGAATGGATTAAAACAAGCTTGCATTTCATAAGAAAATGCAAAACAGACAAGTAAGGTTTTTCTATGGCTGAATAAAGTTAATCAAATAGTGAGAAGTATGAGCTAATTTCTGTCATCACTCAACGTGGCAGAGGCAAAAAGACCATCATGAAAAAGCACCATAAAGGCATCCTATCTGGAAGTCTAAATGGAGGAGATTATATTGGATATCATATATACATGTGTATTTCATGTGTAATTTGTGTTAAAAACAACAGACACAGTACCGTACATATTGTTTATTTCAAGAATGCATGGCATGTACAGTACAGATGCAGCCATTGAAAATGCGCGGGCGATACCGCATTATTTTCCGGTACGCTGTACGCAGTCTACCGCGAGTTACCGTAAATTCTCCTACAGTAATTTTTGAGAATCGATTCACCATGCCTTTCACATGCTCATAAAAGAGATT